CCAACATTACAGTTAGTGTGACTGTTGCTATTCAGGCCAGAGCCAATGAAGATACACAACAAAGTCAGCCCGGAAAGCCGACCCACTGCTTTCCCTTCCTTGGGGGGTGTAGTGGGACAGATGTCATGACACTAGTTAACTGTTCCAGAAATGATCACCACGACAGATGCTAACATCATGCTTGCTGTAAGTTTTTTTTTTTTTTAAGATTTTATTTATTTATTTGAGAGAGAGAGAATGAGAGATAGAGAGCACGAGAGGGAAGAGGGTCAGAGGGAGAAGCAGACTCCCTGCTGAGCAGGGAGCCCGATGTGGGACTCGATCCCGGGACTCCAGGATCATGACCTGAGCCAAAGGCAGTCGCTTAACCAACTGAGCCACCCAGGCGCCCGCTTGCTGTAAGTCTTAAGCGCTTTACAGGTAATCCCTCATTTGATCCTCAGTGCAACCCGACGAGTTAGATGCTATCATTGGCCTCATTGTACAGATGAGTAAACGGAGACCTGGAAAGGGAAAGTCACTGGGCCCAAGCTGCTTGGCTTGCTGAGTCCTTACCCGCTGCTTTCCTGGGCCTCTCTCTGTGTAGAACAAGCCTCTGTCTGGTTTTAGCATTGCCTGGCCAGGAGTCACGGCATTCTTCTCCAAGCATGGGAAAGAGAGAAGTGACGAAGAATGGTTGTGAGGTTCTTCCCTAGGGGTAGGCGAGTTTGTTGCCGGCTTCCGGCACTCTGCGGGCCCTGGGACGCAGGGGCGAGAGGTGAAGTGGAGAAGCCAGAGGTACGGTTTGCTGGGGTGGGGGCTTGGGAGGAAGCCGTGAATTAGTGGTCACTGTTCTGCCTGTATTTATCCTTCCCACTGTAATCAATAGCAAAGGTGACAAAAATACATTCTTAGTGTCACTCAACACTGCTTTCAAAAATGTGTTTGGATTTGGATAAGATGCGAATTTTTCCCAAAAGGTTTTCTTTCCAAATTAGATGGTCTTGGCTCCAAAGGCGGCCAGCTACTGCAGACTCAATCCCAAGTGTACAGGCCAAGAAAGAAGAGCAATGCCCCTCAGAGGGGTTCCTGGGCAGAGCAGATGGTTGGGCAGGGAGGTGAATGACAAGAGAAGTGAGTGGAGCCCCCACTTGGGGGTGGGGGTTCTCAAAGGGATGTGACATGGAGAAGGAATCTGTGAGGCTTCAAAGGCTCCAGGGTGAATGGGGTGGGGACAGGGGGCATTAGGTCCAGGCGCACCAGAACCTCAAGTTCCATCTCTGTCGTCTTTATGAGCTGCTCTCCTTTGAGATGGGAGAGATGTTCAAGAGCAGGAGGGTGGCTGGCTCCCGAGCAGGGGGCAGCCCGAGGCAGCTGGGGTGTGGGGAGAGTCAGACAAGGCAGCTGAAAGAGCCAGGGACTGCTGAGACCAGGGCAAAGATGAGAGAAGTCCATGCCGTCCTGGGCAAACCACTGCCTTTGCATGGGCCTCAATTTGCTCAACTGTGAAATGGAAAGATTGGCTAGAAAACGCCACAGGTCCCTTACCAGTATGGAACTCTGCCAGTTCAGAAAATGACTCGTGACCCAAGAGCTGACCTGAGAATTAATTATTCAAGTTATCAAAAGCATCCAGCAGCCTCAGAACTCCACCCTAGAATTGAGCAATCTAATCCACCGCTCACTTCCTCCACTCTCTTAACCACCACCACCCTGTCAGTCAGGCACATCTGCCCTCCTGGATGTGTCCTACAGGTGAAAGGCCCAGACTCCTGGTAAGTCTTGGAACACCCACCCTTCTCACCTTCCAGAATTCTCTGTTCTCTGTCCCCCTTGATACCCAGCCTCTATTGATCCCAGACATCTCTCCCTGCCCTGGGGTGGGCTTCATTCCTCTTAAGGCCTCCCTATCCCCAAAGGGAGAGCCCCTGCCCCTCTTCCTTACACCTCTCTCTGACAACCACTTAGGGCAACTCTCTGCCCAGCTCCTTCCCTTCCTGACTCAGCCAGTTCTCTTGCTTTGGCTAGGATGGGGTCTGAGGAAAGGCCAGACATTGTCTAGTCCCTCCTCCCCTATATTAAATGCAAATATGTGTGGATTATATTCATAGAGAGAAAGAATGCTAGAATTGTATTAAAATGACTGAATTTTCTATTGTTATTGAAAAGATTGCCTTCAATGTTTGGGATCTTGTAAATGCCTCCGTTGTATAGCATTTTCATAAAATAAATTAGAATCATCCCATCCATGGCGTTTCTGAATGGCCGTGAGTCATTAAGGGTCTGGCCATTTCACTCAATGAGGGAATCTCCTGCTTGTTCACCGAGAACATGACCAGGGGGTCAGTAGGAATCAGCCAGTTCAAGGGTGTTTGGCTAATCATTTCTGCAAGGGCTGTTTCTTTCATTCCGGGTCTACAGAATAGGTAAGAAAATATCGGACAATAGGAGTAAACTGTATACAGCCTGACTTCACGAGATCTCAAAAACTTAGCTTACAAATATATTTTAAATATGCTTAATATATGAGGTACGATTCTTTTTTTTTTTTTAAATGAAGCAGGTCTGTAGACTATAAGTAGCACGTGGAGCCACCCACACCTACATGGAATCCTGGTTGCAGCATTTGTAGGCTCTGTGACCATGGGCTGGTGTCTGAGCCCCTCTGTGCCTGTCTTCTCACCTGTAAATGGGGGCTAATCATATCTACCTGTAACCCTCCAGGGAGGTCATGTACCTATGAGGCACAGAGCAGACCCTTCCCTTAGTTTCTCCCTTTCACTGTCAACGCATCCTTCCTAGAGATTGGTAAGCTGAAAAACCCAGAAGCATCAACAAAGCATTGTCCCCCCAGTGGCTGGAGGTCACTGCTCTGGCCTGCTTCTCTTGCCTGAGTTCTCCATCTCCTGACCTGACTTGCAGGGTCTCCCTCTGGACCCTCAAGCTGATCCCTCGTGCCTGGGAGCGGAAGCTCCCCTGTGTACCCCCCAGCCCATCCCCCGCACAGCTGAGCACTGGATATACCAGAATGAGGACTTATCAGTGAAGGATGCTTGGCTGCAGCTATCCCCTGATAAGGCAGTTTCTGCCACCGCCCCAGCCCTGCCTTCTCACACTGTAAAAGGCACCCATTTCCAGTGTACAACTAGTGGTTCTTAGTACACACACAAAGTTATACAATCCTCACCACTGTCTAATTCCTGAACACTTTCATCAGCCTGAAAAGAAACCCCCTCTCCAGCGCCTGGCAACCCCTGATCTACTTTCTGTCTCTACTGATTTGCCTCTTCTGGACATTTCACATACATGGACTCCTACAGTATGAAGCCTTTTATGTCTGGCTTTTTTTTTTTTTTTTTGCTTGGAATAATGTTTTCAAGGTTCACCCACATTATAGCATATATCAGTACTTCATTCCTGTTGTTGGTTGAATAATAGTCCATTGTATGTGTATGCTTCCATTAGTTTCTCCATTTATCGGTTGAGGCACATTTGGATTGTTTCCACTTTTGGGCTATTACACTGTTGTGAACATTTGTGCACAAGTTTTTGTGTGGACATAGCTCTCCAATTCTCTTGGGTACATATCTAGAAGTGAAATTGCTGGGTCAATGGTAACTATGTTTAACGTTTTGAACAACTGCCAAACTGTTCTCCAAAGTAGCCGCACTATTGGTACATTCCCACGAGCAATGTATGAGGAGTCCAATTCTCCACATCCTTGTCAATTGCATTACTGTCCTTCTTGTTTTATGATGATGATCCTATTAAGTATTGAAGTAATTCTGGAACCTTGTTACTCGATGTTTTTCTCTTTAATGCTGGTTCCATTTTGAGGTGGGTTACTGACTTGCATGTGGTCCCAGAATGGTCATACCTTGTTATAAAGAAATGGCACAGTGGTGATAGATCGGGTGGTTCACAAGGAACTCATTTGGGAGCTGGTTTACTTTAATTTACTTCCTCTTTGAAAACTGGGTAAATATTTCAGAGTGCCTGCAGCTTCCCCCAGAAGCAGACTTTGGGCTATCCCCATAACAAGGGCAGAGCCAACAGAAGCGGGTTTACCTGGATGTAGTCTGGGGGGCTGGGGAGTCAGGGATGGATGAAGGCACTCACTGGCAGGACACAAAGTGTCCCCACCAGAATTGAAAAGCCACCAAAACAAGGATAGTGTGTCTCCACCTGTCTCCACCTGTCTCCTCTGCTTCTCACTGCCTCTCCTTGTGCTGGGAGCACACTGGCTTTCTCTGCTCACCTCCACATGGCAGAACATGGCTGCCCAGAGCTCCCAAGACAGTCGGTTACATTTCCACCCGCTTGGAGAATCAGTCAGCCACCCACTTAGGGATTTTTAATATATTTTTTTCAAACTGCACAAATACTCCCACAGCAGGTCTTCTGCATCCTGAAAGAAAAACGCTGGGCTGTAAATAAGCTTTCTTCTAGCTCCAGTATCCTTCAACTGTATGCTGTTACCCCTAAATCTATTTTTCCACACACTTCTTTTAAAGACTTTCAGAAAGTGGGACAAAGGGGTTCCTCCCTCAGCTTTCTAGTCAAACCTCCATCTTTTTCTAGCAGTCAAACCCAATTGGATTGCCTGCTTAATCCCCCACATCAAGAACTGAATGGCACCCCATATTTCTGACATTAAATTCAGCCTGAATAGCCAGAGATGCTCACCACTGAAGAATCTAAGACATGTTCTGTAGGGATTGTTTGCAGGGAAGTTTCAACAATGTTTTGGGTGATGGTGATGTCATGGAAAATGCTCAGAATCTCTCTGGTTTTGAGGGAACTATACACTTTGTGCAATGTGCCATTTACCACTAAATGTGGCTCACAATCTAGAGCCACAACTACTTCCTAATGTGAAAGTTGCTTCCGTGTAATGTACAAGCCAAGGCAAAGAATCCTGTCCGAGGTTCATGGGTAAATAGGCTAGAATCTGGGGAGAGATTATTGTGCAGTAACTCTCATCTCTCTTCTCTAAGCCAGGATTTAAGTTTGCCTCCAATATGGAAGACACTGACTTGTACAATTACGACTTGGAAGATTTCTTCAGTGAAAATTACAGTTACAGCACAGAACTGCCCTTTATTCCAGCAGACTCTGCCCCATGCAGGCCAGAATCCCTGGAAATCAACAAGTATGCAGTGGTGGTCATCTATGTCCTGATCTTCATGCTGAATCTGCTGGGAAACTCCCTAGTGATACTGGTTGTCTTACATAGTCGGGTCAGCCAGTCTGTCACTGACGTCTACCTGCTGAACCTGGCCATAGCCGACCTGCTCTTCGCCCTGACCTTGCCTCTCTGGGCCGCCTCCAAGGCAAAGGGCTGGATCTTTGGCACACCCCTGTGCAAGGTGGTCTCGCTCCTGAAGGAAGTCAACTTCTACAGTGGTATTTTACTACTGGCCTGCATCAGCGTGGACCGCTACCTGGCCATAGTCCATGCCACACGCACGTTGATCCAGAAGCGGCACTGGGTCAAGTTCATATGCTTAGGCATCTGGGCCCTGTCCCTGATCCTGTCCCTGCCCATCTTCGTCTTCCGCAGAGCCATCAATCCCCCCTACTCCAGCCCAGTCTGCTACGAGGACATGGGTGCCAATACAACAAAACTGCGGCTAGTGATGCGGGCCCTGCCCCAGACCTTTGGCTTCCTCCTGCCACTGTTGGTCATGCTGTTCTGCTATGGGCTCACCCTGCGCACCCTGTTTCAGGCCCACATGGGGCAGAAGCACCGGGCCATGCGGGTCATCTTCGCTGTCGTGCTTGTCTTCCTGCTCTGTTGGCTGCCTTACAACCTGGTCCTGGTCGCAGACACCCTCATGAGGCTCCGGGTGATCAAGGAGACTTGTGAGCGCCGCAATGACATTGGCCGGGCCCTGGATGCCACCGAGATTCTGGGCTTCCTCCACAGCTGCCTCAATCCCTTCATCTACGCCTTCATTGGCCAGAAGTTTCGCCATGGACTCCTCAAGATCATGGCCTTCCATGGGCTCATCAGCAAGGAGTACTTGTCCAAGGACGGCAGGCCTTCCTTTGTTGGCTCTTCTTCAGCAAACACTTCTACTACCTTCTAAGCCCCCCGCCCCGGCCCTGTCGCAGCCCCTCGGGGCTCCTCCCTCGCCATCAGCATCCCGTTCCGAGCCTCATGTCCACTGGCTGTTCACAGCCTCTGTGTCAAGGCAGCCGCCGGGTGTGGTTACAGGAAGTGACTGGGGCCGTGTCCTTTTCAGGCCCGTTGTACAGTTTAGAAAGCCTGCCCTGGTTCCCCAGCCCTGACTATACTTACTCTGCCAGCTGCTAGAGCTCAGTCCACCCTACCACTGAGCCCACAGCACTCTGTTCTCTGAGGCAGTTAAAGACATTTAAAAGGCATTCCTTCAAGTGACTACAGAAAGTTCCTACATGGGGCGGTGTCAGTGGTGAACGGCATTAGCTGCTGCCCCCCTGTCCCCTTCTTGCTTGTCAGCAAAGCCCACCTCCCTTGAGAGAGGCTGAGAGGGACAGATACTCACTTTCGAAGACTCCCTTGGCTAGGAGTGGCCCTGCCATTCACTTCGGACTACTTAGATTTCAGGGCAATGGTGTGCTGGTAAACCACTCTCCTGGGGGAAAGAAGTCCTGATTTGTAGCATTTACTGAGTTGCCTGGTATAAATGCTCCCGCCATGGCGATTTCAAGGGTTTTCAAGTAATGTAATGAGTGCTTTCACAAGCAGGTACAAACTGGCCCTAGGGCACTATTGCTTAAGAGGAAGTCCGCTGGGTCCAGGGACTCCTGGGAAGTAGTCCTGATTGAAAAAAGAGAGAGAGAGAGAGAGACACGCACACCCCCTTGGTTCTCACCTTTGAATATGGTTGTAGGATCTGATGTGACAAAGAGGCAAAAAGTGTGCTCAACACACTTAGGCAGATGGAGCAGATGAGAATAAAGAGCCCAGAAAGAAGCATAAGCGTAAATGGCCAATGATTTTCAACAAGGGGCACCCAGACTATTCAATGGGGAAGGATAGTCATTCAACAAACGGTGTGGGCAAAGCAGCTCTCCACACGCACAGGAACGGACTTGGTCCCTTTCCTCACACCATGTACAAAAGTTGACTCAAAATGGGGCAAAGATCTACACAGGAGAACTTCAAGTATAAAACGCTAGTAGACACATATAGGAAAAGTTTTATAACATTGGATTTGGCAATGATTCCTTTGATATGACACCAAAAGCACAGGTAAGAAAAAAATAAATAGATAATTGGATTTCAGCAATGTTACAAACTTGTGTGCATCAAAGAACACTATCAACAGAGTGGAAAGGGAAATCACAGAATGGGAGAAAATTTTTTTTAAATCAAATTTTATACAGTTTACTCTCCACAATATACAAAGAATTCCTACAATTCAACAACAAGAACAACAACAACAAAGACAGATAATAACAAGTGTCAGCAACGATATGGAAATACTGGTAGGACACTTGTATATCATTGGTGGAAATGGAAATGGTGCAGCCACTGTGGAAAACAGTGCCTTGAAAGATGAAACAGAATTACTATCTGATCCAGCACCTCCATGTCTAAGTGTACACCCAAAAGAACTGAAAGCAGAGACTCAAACAGATGTTCGTACACTAATGTTCCTAGCAGCATTATTCACAATCACCAAAAGACAACAACCACCCAATGTCCATCAATGGATGATGGACAAACAAAATGTGGGGTATACATGCAATGGAATATCGTTCGGTCTTAAAAATGAATGAGCTTCTGGTACGTGCTACAAACACAGGTGAACCCTGAGAACATGATACGAAGTGAAAGAAGCCAGGCAAAAATAGTGTATGATTCCAGTTATTGGAAATACCTATAATAGTCAAGTTCATAGAGACAAGAACAAACAGTGGTTACCAGGGGCTGTGCAGAGGTGAAAATAGGAGGTAATTTTTTAATGGGTACACAATTCAGTTGGGGGTGATGAAAAGTTTCTGGAGATGGATAGTGGTGATACTGGTACAACAGTGTAACTGAGCTTAATGTCACTAAACTGTACATTTAAACTGGTAAAAATGGTCAGTTTTATGTTATGTGTATCTTACTACAATGGGAAAAAAAATAAAAACCAACTAGTTCCCAAAAGACAAATTTTAGCAACTGAACCAATCGTGGAACCATCTACCTATAACTTCTTGTTCAGGGAGATAATTAAATGTCTTTTTTTTCCTTTGTATAAGCCACTTTGAGTTGAGTATTTCATTACTTGCAACAAAAAGCATCTGAACTGCTACAGAGAAGTCAGGCAAGGGTGAACAGAGGTCCCGAACGTAGATTTATTTACAATAATTAAATCCCTTTGCTGTCTATTGGGTGCACAGATAGAAGGATTGAAATCGAGAGAGAAGCCAGCCTTTCCTCCTCCTTCATCCCCAGCGCAAGCCTGTTGCTGCTGGACATGTATTATAGAAGGAGATATGTCCCGGGATCATCTAGTGCTTCTTATGTCTTTGGGTGAAACCAGAGTCAAGAGCGTCAAGGGTCAGTGTGTTTTACCAGATCAGCTGGATTGGGGAGCAGGAAGGCAGACAGCTCTGCTGAGCTCAACCAGCCACCCTACTCTGAGTCTTCACTCTCTCCTCTCTCCCACTCAAAACACACACACACACACACACACACACACGCCCACCATACAGGACGGACAAAAGCACACCTTGCAGAATAGGGAAATGATTTCCACACAAAACCAAGGACTTGACTCTTTGCTTGGGCAGTCTTTCCTGAGGGCCTGCCATCCCAGGGCTCTGGGACATGGCAGAGCTTACCCAGGCTGAGCTCCTGTTCACAGGCCTCGTCCCTGCGGGGGCTTTGGCAGGAGGGGGTTGGGCTCAGAGCAGCCTCCTAAGGAAGTAAGACTGTGAGGGGAGTCCAAGGGCACAGTCCCCAAGCTCTACCAGGTTCTGATCCCCTTCCTGTTAACAACTCTCTGACCACTAAATCAAAGAGACAGCTGCTGTGGTTCTGACCAAGAGGCCCCTCCAGTGAGGCAGGAGCAAACCTCTGAGGTGGGGTGCTCAAGGGGCAAGTAACTACCTCTCCTGACTCATGAAAGCACAAAGAGGATTAATCCGGCCCTGCTAATCCCTTGTTCCGAGCTCATTCTGTGCCAGGCACTGTGCTAAGCTCAGGTTCAAGCTTGACTTAGCTGCTCTGGCCAAGCCTTCAGAATAGCTTCTGATTCAGCGGGGGAACGTGTATTTACTGGAGGGAACACCCGAGTTGCCAGAGGGACCGGGGTTGTTCTGACCCGGCAGGGCGGATGGGCCAGATGGCTCCCTGAGATCATTGTCAGCGGGACGAGGCCAGACCGAGTTTTACTCCGATTCTGGGCTCTGCTCTTTGCTACTCGAACAAGGGCTAGAGGACGCATAGTTTCTCCAAGGAGAGTAAGAGGATAAAATAAGCCTAGGAGCAATGAGGCAGAGATGGAGTTGCACTTACGTAAACTCTGTTATAATATTTCTCTCTCTTTCATTGTCTCCCTCCCTCCCTCTCTCACATAAAGACAGTCTTGGCACAAATAACCTACCAACCAAGCCATCACCAGGAGGAGGCAAATCCAGGGCCTGTCTTGGAGTTGTTGATTTCTTTCTTCCCTCCGATGTTTCCAAGCCTGAGTCCCACTGTCAGGGCCCAGCTCCCTTCTGCCTAGATCTGCCTGCTCAGTCTGAGCTGGCCCCTCTTGCTTCTGAGATACATTGCCCTACTTACATGAACACTCTCCGTCTTGTTTCTCTGTCTCCCCAGTTTATGACGTCTCCCTCAACGCAGTCCCTCCTCATTGAAGGAATGGGCTCCCTTTGGTCACGAAATCAGAACAGCCTCCCTTGTCTCTTGGGTGATATGAAGACATACCCTCAGGTGGCATGTCACATTGAAATTCATCCCGCGTTGACCCATGTGGAAAACAGCCACCCTGCCATAGCAGAGCCAGAGGATACCTAGAGCTTCCCCCCGCCCCCCGCCAACCCTTGCAATACACAAATGAGGAAACTGAGGCCCAAGCAAAGCGACTTGATCAAGATCTTGTGGCTGGGTAAGAGTAGAGCTGGAATAAAAATGCCTAGTGAGGTTCATTTTTTCAGATATTTCGCTTTTCTAGTGGTGACACTTCAGGCACCTTCCAAATAGATGAGAAAATACATATATGAACTTCCCAGAGCATTCCACTCATATAGGTAGGGCTGGTCCACTTCTTCAGCGCCTACACTCATCTGATAGAGTCAAGGGCTAACTGAGGCTTGGGGCCCACGTTTGGGAGCAGGCTCAGATGAGGTTACCCTATTCTGAGCTGTTCCATAAGACAGTTAAAGAGACAGTCGGATGGGGTTCCTGGGTGGCTCAGTCAGTGGGGCGTCTGACTCTTGATTTCAGCTCAGGTCATGATCTCAGGGATGTGGGATCGAGCCTTACGAGGGGCTCCACGCTCTCCCTCTCCCTCTGCCCACCCCACCCCCCACTGCTCACACACCCACACATGTGCACACTCTCTCTCTAAAAGAAAAGAGACAGTTGGAGCCCAACATAAAATTCAGAGACAGGCAAAACCAGCCTCTATCAGGCAGGGTTCCATTAGAAAAGCAGGACCGCTTGGAGGAGAGATTCATTATAGGGATTTGACTGTATGCGATTGTGGAAGTGGGCTAAATAGTCTAGGTCAGACTGTTGTCTTTGCTTCTGGTGCTGGGACCCGAAAGTGGCAGGACAGAGAGCCAAGGAGGAAAGATCCCGTGAAGCAGACAAGAGTGAGGGCGAGCTGGAACCTGCAAGGACAGACTGAAACCTGCACCCGGTCTCTCGTGGCCTCCAAGTTCAACATGCAGACGGACTGCTGGAGATGCTGACGCCTGCATCATGAAGGTCAGAACACACGAGGCTCAGGAGCAGGAGGTACGGCTGATTCAGCTGCCGCCCCACACTAACGAGAGGAGCCAGCAAATTAAGGACAGCAAAGACCAGCGTCTGGTGCCTTGCGCTGACCTTCCAGAGCATAAAAAAGAATGTCACTTCTGCTCCACTTTCCACCTTCCAAAGTTCACACAAAAGTCTCTTCTGGCTGACACTAACATGGAACTAGGCGAGAAAGGGAGGGAATTTGATGAATCTTGATTCAAGCTTAACTAAATTGACTCATTGCAAATCTTTCAGGCAAACTTAGGTGCAGACTATAAAGAGAAAGAATGATCGCCACCAACGTTTGAATAATGTTTATTTAGAGTTTGAATCTATCAGGGAGGAACACATTGGGGCTTTTGAGAGTACCGGGAATATCCTCTTTCTTTACCTAGATTATGGCTACC